AAGAGCGGTGATCACAGTACAATTTCTAGCTTCCTGGCCCCAGTGCAGTTTCTTGCTGCCCAGCATGAGCGCAGGCAGAAGCAAAGCTTCTGGCTCCACAAGCTAGATCCAGTGGCTCTGTTGCTGAATCCTGCTCTACAGCAACTTCCTGTAACTTGTGCGTCTGCCTGGTACTTCCTGTGGGTGGATGCAACTAGACAGGTAGAGCTGGTGAGTCATGGCCTGGGTTTTCTGCCTGGTGTATGCAAAAATCCCAGCTTGTGTTCTGGGAATGTCTCATGCTTAGTTTCCTTTTTGAAAAGCTCAGGCACAATCAGACGCACGCAGCAAATGTCTTGCTGAGTCCTCGTGTTTTATACATGCAGCAGCTACTATGCCCTGTGTGCAGGAGTGGACCAGGAGCGCATCTGGTGGCAAGACAGTGGCACATCTCTGCTGCCATCTCAGAGAGGGGACGTTTTAGAGGGATAATCCTGCTTTCCTGAATGGTGCATGCCTACACCCCTGGCAGTAGGGTCCTATAGTGCGTTCTACCTCAGAGCTGCAGCCTGTTTCATCCAAGGGACTGAGGAGCTTCCCTGGGCTCGCTTCATGGGTGAGGAGGGGAAATCCAGAATGTGGCAATGTTCTGTTCCTGCCTAGGATCTATGGCCGGGCCTCACGTATCAATGGCCAGGATGACAAGCTGCTGGCCAAGAAGCTGCTGAGCCTGCTGTATTCGGCTTCTCCCCTCCCATCCCAAAATACATTTCCTACTTTCACAACAGGCATGGGGAAACTTCTGCCACCAACCAAACAGAGGGAGGAAGGAGGAACTGAGTCACTGCAGGTAGAGGAAGAAGAAAAGGAAGATGTCTTCTCAGCCAGTGATACTACTGCAGCAAGACAGGAATGGAATGTGGCCTTTATCATTTGCTCCTTGTTAAGCAAACCTTTTGTAAAGGCTTCAGGGTAGGCATAAGCAAGGGAACAAATTCATGATCACTGAACCTTGTGCAGTGATTATTAATGGGAAGTTAAACACATCCAGCTGCACACTTTGGTACAGCAATCATGCATAAATACTTAAAGGTTTATCTTGTCCTTGTGAACAAGTCAGTCAGTTTCACGACTATTCAGGCCCAAAGGTCAGTCTCCCTAATAGGCAAGTAGGCAAAAATATTGGCTGGATTCTCAGCTTTTCCGAGTAGCTCAAAACCGGCATTTCTCTTGTGGAATCTTCCATATGTAGATTTAATAGCTTTAATAGCTACTGCTCTAACCTAAAAAGCTTTCATTTTGCTGTGAGTCTGCTATAGCAAGCAATCAGCCAGGTAATAATGTCTTGTTTAAGAACTAGAGCTAGTGAAAGCAAGGACCATGTCTGCATAAGCTTCATTAGCCATTTGGCTGTAACAGGTGCCTTATCTGAAATTTACTTCTACTCTTAAACATAATGATACTGAAGTGCTGTTTAAATGTGGAATTAATGCCACTATTAACATATATAAATTACAATGATTTAATGTATATCAGTGTTTTAAACCAGTACAGACGCATACTCTTATATTCAGCTTAAGATAATGGGATATAATTGAAGTTTTGTCTTTCTGAAAATGTCTGTTCTTAAACCATTTGTACTTGTTTAACAAATAGATTATTAACCACAATTTTAAACTAACAGGTGCAACTTAAATGAATGTAGGAGAAAGATTGTTGTTTGGGGGTAAGGCTCCTATATCCCCTATAATACAAACTAGAAAAACCTTTCCAGCCTTTAATTATGCCGGATATTTCACTCTCCATCTGGTCTGCCTTTGAACAAGCACTACATCATGACTCGTCATCATTTCATTGGACACAAAAAGCTGAAACTGACTAACTGCAGTTGCTAGGACAAAATGCCATCTTTAAATATTTTTGTAACAGCAGCAAGGCCTGGCATTTGCAAAAGAGAAGGTACACAAATATTACAGAACACTAATTACTTAGAATCACTTCTGCTCTTTGCAAAAAGCTAATCCAGACAGGGTGTCACTAATATGATGCTGTGTTAAACTGAAGTATCAAGCCGTCCAAATTGGGATACTGGTATGTTTTAAACAGCATTTTCTCCATCCTACATTCCATGATATAGTCACGCATCATAAAATATGCAAATAGAAGCTCTAAAAGCATGCATGATAACTATAAGCAATGCAGGCACATATTGCTGTGTAGTGGAGGGTGCAGTCTCATCTTATCTTAAATTAGGTGGGGTAACTGTACCAGACTCCATGATGGTAAATTCTTTCCAAAGCAAATACATTTTTATCTACTGATTAAAATATTTTAAAATATTTACCATGTGCAGTATTAAATATAAATGGGTGGCATTGTGCAGTTCTAACAGCATGCTGCAACAGGTCCATTCTTATCCCATAATGTGCCTGGAATACTCTTACCATATTTATTCATCAATGCTATTTTGTTTGTGAAAATGTTCACATTTGGTTGTGACTTTAAGAGATGCAAGGAAGAGAAGTTTCATGCAGAAATAAAAATCAGAGCAACTTGCAGGGGACTCTGCTGGAAGAGCTTACGAAAAGTGCAAATGTAATGTAAAAAGTCCATGTTGTAACACAACCTAGCTGTAAGGAGGATGAATAACTGGACAAGCAGCTTATGGAAGATGGCTTATTGTAATATTTGTCTCTTTTGATCAAATTGTTGCCAAGATATCCAAGCCTTCATGGTTTGCAGAAATCTTACATCAAATTTGCTCAGGCAAAAGGAGAATGGAAATTTATGCAACACCAAGCTAGCTGCAAAGTTGAAGGCATGGTACCTGCTTAGTCACTGCGGAGGTTCCTGGGGCCCTCTGAAACAGAGAGAAAGAGTCCCGTGCAGTTATGCTAAGCACATGGTCAAGATCAAATGAATGTAAGTTACTTTAATTAAACAAAGTACATTAGAGCAAATTATTGCACAGCAAGTTGAAGTCAACCCTGATGTATTACCTAGAAATCACCCCCTCCCTGGGAAACCAGGGGGAAGGGTCTGAATCGGCATCTCCTTCAGTTTCATGTTTAATTTCTTTGTTAAAGGTCATGAACTGAAGTTTTACAAAAATGCTGCAGAGGCAGAAGCTTCCCTTCAGAGCCTCTTCATGTCACTGGTGGTATAACAGGATCAAGAGCTTTGTATTCAAGCAGAGGTGTCAAACTCACCATGAGCCTGGGGCTCAATCTCATCCATGAGGCTCTTCCTAGGCTGGATTTGAGATGCTGAGGCGATGGCAGGGCAACCAAGAGCTGTGTTGTACAACCCTTGCTTGCCCTTCTGCCACTGAAGGTCACATCCAGAGGGGCCAGTGGCCTTGCATCTGTCACAGGCCATGTCCCCCATCTCGCTGTAGCCCAGTGGGCTGCATGGAGCAGCTCCATGGGTGAGGTCTGTCCCACAGGCAGTATCAAAGCTCGGGAAGGTAACTAGTGAATGCTGTATGAGATTTTTACTTGTTTAATGAACAGATGAAAGTGACAGCTTGACACTTCCCATGCACGACTGGCCTGAGCAGAAACCCACATGGCATAATCCAAACTGCAGCCATTTTAGCTATGACACAGAGCCTAATGTGCTTTCTTTGACTCCTACAGCCCTCAACAAGTCTCTGAATGACAAGGTACCCCTTTAC